CCAGAGAAGCTGTGGCTGCCCCATCCCTGGAGGGGTTCAAGGGCAGGTTGGAGGGGGCTTGGAGCAACCTGGTGTGGTGGGAGGTGTCCCTGCCCATGGCCAGGGGGTTGGAACTCAATGACCTTTAAGGTCCCTTCCAACTCTAACCATTGTATGATTCTAACTGTCCCGAGCGTGGTGTGTCAGCACAAGAAGCTGGCAGCCCCGCAGATGGTACCTCCACACCCTTGACAGCCGGCCAACAACACTACGGGAGAGCTGAGCTGATGAACGCTGACACCAGTGAGCTGGCCCAGGTGACACAGCGTATCCCCATCACACCCTGTCACACTCCATCACATCAGCTCTGCCGTGGAAAAGCAAGGTGTTACTAAAGCACGGCAGAGTCAAGAAACAACTACGGGAGAGCTGAGCTGATGAACGCTGACACCAGTGAGCTGGCCCAGGTGACACAGCGTATCCCCATCACACCCTGTCACACTCCATCACATCAGCTCTGCCGTGGAAAAGCAAGGTGTTACTAAAGCACGGCAGAGTCAAGAAACATCTCAATGAAAGGCTTCAGGCATCCTTTGGTATCCCAGAGGATTTCTCAAATGAGTAGGATGCATCAGAGAGGTATCAGCCAAGGCAGCTCCTGTTGCACAGTTTTGGGCCTTCGGTATTACCAGCCACAGGAGCCTCAATGGCCAGTGACACGGGCACCACAGAGGGACCACCAAGTGCCAACAGCCCGGGCTCAGCAGCACCACAGCCTGCACCAGGGAGGACTCAGCAGCTGATGTGCAGAACAAGCTGAGTCACCCCAAAGCCCTAGAGACCTCCCCGTAACACCATCGCCCCGAGGCAATGCCTCCAGAGAGTGAAAACCAGGACAGATGTCACTTCCCATCAGGGAGGTGAGCCCTGCAGGAATGCCAGGGCCCACACCAGACCCTACCAGCACCGAAACCTCAGACAGACATCTTCACCCTGGGCTGCATCCCCAGCCCCGTGGCCAGCATGGGCACCACAGAGGGATGACCAAGTGACAACAGCCCGGGCTCAGCAGCACCACAACCTGCACCAGGGAGGACTCAGCAGCTGATGTGCAGAACAAGCTGAGTCACCCCAAAGCCCTAGAGACCTCCCGGTAACACCATCGCCCCGAGGCAATGCCTCCAGAGAGGGAAAACCAGGACAGGTGTCACTTCCCATCAGGGAGGTGAGCCCTGCAGGAATGCCAGGGCCCACACCAGACCCTACCAGCACCGAAACCTCAGACAGACATCTTCAGCCTGGGCTGCATCCCCAGCCCCGTGGCCAGCAGGGAGAGGGATGGGGGGTCTCTGCCCCTCTGCTCCGCTCTGGGGAGACCCCCCCAGTGCTGCCTCCAGCTCTGGGGCCACCAACAGCAGAAGGACACGGAGCTGTTGGATGGGGCCAGAGGAGGCCCCGGAGATACTGGGAGGGCTGGAGCCCCTCTGCTGGGAGGGGGGGCTGAGAGAGTTGGGGGGGTTCAGCCTGGAGAAGAGAAGGCTCCGGGGAGACCTTGGAGCCCCTTCCAGTCCCTAAAGAAGGGGGGCTCCAGGAAAGCTGGGGAAGGACTCTAGATCAGGGAGGGGAGCCCTAGGAGGAGGAGGAAGGGTTGGACACTGAAAGAGGGGAGATGGAGCTGAGCTGTGGGGAAGAACTTGTTTGGTGGGAGGGTGGTGAGAGCCTGGCCCAGGTTGGCCAGAGAAGCTGTGGCTGCCCCATCCCTGGAGGGGTTCAAGGGCAGGTTGGAGGGGGCTTGGAGCAACCTGGTGTGGTGGGAGGTGTCCCTGCCCAGGGCAGGGGGTGGCACTGGGTGGGCTTTGAGGTCCCTTCCAACCCAAACCATTCTGTGATTCTATTTCAGCAAAACCCATAAAAGGCAGTGAGATGGGAGGGGCTCCCTGTACCACAGACATGAATGCAAGGGGGTGACATGATGGGACACCGCTGGACCCCCTCAGACCAAGGTCACAGCCCAGAGGACACGAGAACTCTACAGAATGATCTCATGGATTTTACCCACAGCCAAGATGCCCTGGGCAGACCCAGAGGAACAGTATGGAACATCCCAAATGCTGCTCCCCCACACTGGTGGGCAGGGAAAAGAGAAGCTCTGTTGGGCAAAGCAGCAAGGAGGACACGCATTACGGTTGATGTTCAGTCAAAACCACTGGGGTTTTTGTTGGTTTTTTTTACCCCTGGTCCATTTCTATCCAAACATGCAAGCCACCTCACCTAAGCTCTCATTTTCATAACGTTACAAAGATGCAAAAATCAATACGGCAGGGAAAAGAGAAGCTCTGTTGGGCAAAGCAGCGAGGAGGACATGCATTATGGTTGATGTTCAGTCAAAACCACTGGGGTTTTTGTTGGTTTTTTTTACCCCTGGTCCATTTCTATCCAAACATGCAAGCCACCTCACCTAAGCTCTCATTTTCATAACGTTACAAAGATGCAAAAATCAATACCCAGAGCCTATTCTTCTATCTGAACCCAAAAGCGGTGACTGAGGAGGTCTGAGAGACAAAAATATCAAAACTAATTGCAGTAAAGGTTAGGAAAAGCCTCAGTAGGAGAGCAGATCTCAGCCACAGAAACCTGTACGCTACAGGAACTACTCCTCCCTCAGGCTCCGAGAGAAAAAGCGTTAGTTTCATGGAAGCCATGGGATGCCTCAGAAGCCTCTCTAAATAAAGCCACCAAGTTCTTAAGCAATGACAATAAAACTGGACTCTCAAGCTGCGGGGAGGGGAACAAGAGCTGCACCAGGAGAGCTCCAGCTTTGTAACAGCAGTTTAGGAGTTAGGTTTGAGCAGTCCCATCTAATCTCCACCCAGGATTACAGAAACAGATAAACAAATACACACAAAAAAAAAAATTAAAGGATAATCTTCAAATACATTTTAGCGCACAAAAATACAAGCTTGCAGAAAGCAGCAATAGCTGCTCTGGGATCTGTTCTTACAGGGAGTAACAGCAGAGTCAGAAAAGAGGTGGAGGGAGAGGGGGAGGCAAATAAGACAGGGACGGGGAGAGAGCTGGAAGCACCAGCATTTCAATGCACAACCAGAGAACAGGATGCACACAGCATGCTGCCGAGTGTATGGGCCAGGGCTGCCAGAAGCTGTCAATGCTCAGAGAGTTACATCACAACCCTTTAATATGATTTATTCCATGCATGATGCTCAAAGATGTCTCTAAACTACCCTCACGTTATCTCAGCACTGATACCCCAAAACCATAAGTTACATTTGGGGGGCGGGAGGGGAGGGAAATAATCAGTCATTATCTCTATCTTAAGATGTTTGAATTCTAGACAGAAATAAGTTATAACATCATATGACACAGAGGAAAACTTGTGCTACTCACAAAAAGAAGTGCTTTTATTTGAGCATGTTAGCTCCCCTAAGAAAGGTTATTTCCAACAAGCAGAACTCCAATGAATTATGGAATCATGGAATTGTCAGAGTTGGAAGGGAACTCTAGAGACCATCCAGTCCAACTCCCCTGCCAAAGCAGGGTTGCCCAGAGCACATCACTCAGGAGCATCCAGGCGGGGCTTGAAGATCTCCAGAGAAGGGGACTCCACACCCTCCCTGGGCAGCCTCTGCCAGGGCTCCGTTACCCTCACCGTAAAAAAGTTTTTTCTTATATTTGAATGGAACTTCCCATGTTCCAGCTTGTGCCCATTGCCCCTTGTTCTATCGCTGGAAACCACTGAAAAGAGTCCGGCTCCAACATCCTTCAACCCACCCTTTAGATACTTATAAACATAAATAAGGTCTCCCCTCAGTCTTTGCTTGTCCAGACTAAAGAGTCCCAGCTCCTTGAGCCTCTCCTCATCAGGGAGAGATGCTCCAATCCCTTAATCATCTTTGTTGCCCTACGCTGGACTCTCTCCAGCAGTTCCCCGTCTCTCTTGAACTGGGAGGCACAGAACAATGGCTCTGCCACTTCTTCTTGGAGATCTATAAAGATTCTCAGTGGGTATGTTGACTTTAAAAAAAAAAAAAGAGAAGAGATGGCAAGCTCGTAAAACTGACTCTGAAGTACACAAGGCAGTTAGAGCTGCCATAGTCTCTCTCAGGAACTGCATCATAAGGTGTGAAGTTACATCTGTCCACTATTTGAAAATACAAGTCTCACCCAGAGGAGACGATGGTTTCTTACGTCCCTTCCCACTCTAAAAAAGCTTCTTAAAAATCAAGCGCAACCTGCTGAAGTACTTGTTTGCTGCTAGACCTTTCCAGGCAGCCAAGAGCTGGACTGACCACAGCAACATACATCTCTGGCAAGAAGAAAGAGAACATCTACAGTACACCAGGTACTTAGTTAAAAACTGAAATCAAAGCCAAAGAGACACAAAAGTGACGGGTGTTTCCTAGAGGAAGGACATCCCCAGGCTCTCAAGGCTTCTCCCCACATCAGAAATACTATCAATAGCAAGGAAGCAAGCGAGCCTGACTCCTAGGTAGATGTCCATGGCTGGGTAAGAAGGGGGATCAGCTTGTTTGAAGCCACCCTAAATTAACACTAAATGCACAAAGGATTTATGAGACAGGAGGAGGACAGCAGCACTGAAGCTTCCATGAGGCTACCCAGCAGCAAGCTGTTCTCAGTGCCCGTCAGTCTCAGCCTCTCACTCCAGCCTTTGCCTACGAATCCCACTTGGCACAGGAAATATCCAGCCAGGAAAACCTGTGCAGAGGCCACCAGCAGCCCTGCTCAGCTGTGGGAAATTCCCCACTGTTCACATATCTCCAGGCTATGGCTGTGCTGCTCTACAAAACAAAACCACATTCTCCATCCAAACCACTCGCTCCAACTAAAACACATGGCTTGAGCGAAGTGCTGAGCTGTAATTCAAAGCAGGAAGATGTCACTACTAGAGAGAACGTGGTGATAACATATAAACACCACTCCCAGGTTTTTCAAGTTCTGTAGAAGTAAGGACAGAGACACAGGTAGCACCAGGCAGGGAGGAGGAAAGGTGAACAGCAACACAATTCGAAGCGGGATTGGAAGCTGGTATCAAGCTAAGGAAAACTAGTTAGATATCATCTGTAGAAAGAGAGGTTTTACTCAAAGAACAGGGAAAATGCCACCAAAACCTTCAAGTTAACCCAAAAAGTCACTAAAGAGTTGCTAGACCTAGATGGAGATTTTCATTCCTGCAGTTCTGCATCTCCTACCCCAGGTGCTTATCAAACACTGGTACCAATCCCCACCACCCCTTCCTCAGCCTCAACAGCAGGATCAACCCAAACCAAAGTTTTTTCCTGTCTTGCAATCTGCTAACGAGGGAACTGCCCCAGTTCCATGTCCAGGTGAGTAACAGGTTGGCTATTTAGGTTATTAAAGGTGGCAGAGGCAGAAGGTCACACACCTCACAAATCCTTTGTCTTTCTAAGCCAAGGGGAAGGGAGGTTTATAAAACAGAAATCCTCACGATTTCGCTACCACAGTGTCAGGGAAAACAAAAGTGGAATGAGACCTTATTCACAGGCTATTTTTTTTTCTTCCTGCCACATTTTAGCTAGCACATGCTGCTTAATAAAGCCCGTAGTGAAGAACAGCAAAAGCCATTATTGTGCTTTATATGTAAAAGGGCTGTTATCTCTCGGTCATCTTCGTATTCCACTCCATTCACACCAAAGCTCCTTGTGTCTCCAAGTGCTTCCTCCAGAACACAAAAGAATTCTTATATCCAGAAGAGAAATACTGCTCATTTTAAGGGAAGTGTCTGGAGATGTACAGAACGGGAACAGGAAGAAGGGGAAGAGCAAAGCATCCTGCTCTTCCTACTCCACAGATGGGCACGGGCCTGACCAGACGTCAACAGAGGCATTATCTTTGTCTGTTCTTTGCGCCACTCAAGAGCACTTTCCTTCAAGGAGGAAAAAGAAAAGCACACAGATAATTCTCTACAGGAGCACCAGGCTGAAGTCTCACTTCAGTTACCCGACAGTGTTAGTTTTGGTGCGAAACACAAGAAAGGGCTGCCACCAACCTGACCCGAGATGGAGTGAAATGCACTTATCTGTCCAAGCAGCTTCTAGTTGTGGGGTTTTTTTTGCCTGTTTTCCTGCCAAATTACCTGGGTGACAGTTTCAGTATCCTCTTGATCAGTGCTGTGCCGTTCCACGGAACTGTTCAATGCAGGTCTAATGCTGTCTGCACGCTGCAACGCAAACACAGCCCATGAAATGGCAAAACAAAAACAAGTTATTATTTGAACACATTCAAAGCCTGCCCCCTGCAACGTCATGTGCTATGTTCAGTTTAGAAATGGATAAATTAGCAATAAACAAAATGCACTCTGTTGAAAGAGACTTCACTCTGCTTCCCCACACGCAGACTCCAGATAACAGTGCTATCTGATGTGCACAGAACCAGAATTCAATATTCTTATTAACAGAAACATTGTCCCCAGACTGCTTTACTGAAATCTGCTATTGCTAATTAAGAACAAGGCATCATTTTGCCGACTACTTTCTTTGCAGAAAACCCTCCTAAGTGGCACAATTCAATTATCTGTCAGCAGAGAAATCAACTGGAAATGTTCTAAAGGCTCTGCGCAAGAACGACCGAGAAGAGCTGCTTTAACTGAACAAATATTTATCTCCAGTTCTAGCTAGGACATTTTCAATATATTTTTGGCACATGACTGAATACACTGCATCGACAGAGATTTAAACAAAGGAAAAAACAAATCCCAAGTTTTTTGTACTAGAATTTGGCACTATGTAGCATGCTTTGAGACTGTATAAGTAAGCACTTCATGCAGCCTGCAGTAAATTACAAAAATCAGGGGCAAGCCATAGGGCATGGGTGATAGACTCCCATAAGAAAGTAAGTTATTTTAGGTACACGGTCTTATAACTTACCTGTGTGGGGAAAGGTACCTGGATGCGCCCTTCGAGGATGTTGTCAGTGGTGATCTCTACAGAACGAGTCAGCTGCAGATCCTGCAGCACCAAATGATAAGGAACCTGAGGGAACATCTCCTGGATCTGATGGGCCTGGAGAAAACAAGGTTTACAGAGTCAGCAGCAGCAGTAAATAAAAGCAAGCTGGTAAGTATCTCAACAGAAAGAGATTTAAATAAATGAACAGCTCAGAGATGGTGTTTACGATAACCCAAAGACAGACAAAACAAGAGAAAGAAAACTCATGTTAGGCAACAACTTACAGGGCAATATTTTGACTCCACTGAAGCCAACAGCAAAACTTCCAGTCCTATAGAGACACCACATGGTCCTGAAAATTTATGGTCCTGAACAGTGTAGATGCACAAAGGCTTCAAAAGCTTCCCAACCCTCTTTTTATGACAGCCTTTTTAATAAAGATCTGTACAAAATTCACACAAGTCACTGACAGCTAGATCAACACTCCAAAAAAAAAAAAAAAAAAAAAAAAAAAAAAAATCATTTTTCCTTGTCCCAGATGGGTTCCAAAAATGTACTGGTAAGGACAAGTGGAATAAGTTTTAATAACCTACTCTCTCCAGCCACCCTGCCCACAAACCAGTTTAATAGGGTCTGAAAGCTCAAGTAAATTAAACTGAGTTGTCAGGGAACTGTTATTATTGAATTTCAACTTACTTAAATAATATCAAAATTAAATAGATAAAAGTAAGAGGGCAGACAAATAACATGCTTTTAGAGGCCAACAGCTAGACTTCATTAAATATTAAAATCTGTATTTTAACTAGTGCTGAAAGTTGCAGGGGGAAATGAGAACAACAACAACAGCAATAAGAATAGAAGGATGGAAAGAGTTTTGAGAGCAAAGCGAAAACCACGCACCAATTGACGGTGAGTTCAAACACAAGCAACTACAGCAAACCTAACTCTGCATTGTACTAACCTGGGACCAAAACAACTGAGTTAGCATTTCAGCCTCTGACCTTTCCTGTAAAATATTTCCCTAGGTTTGTATTCAGTAACACAACGAGAATTTCACTTATTTTCTATTAAAACTGTGTAACTCACTAATAGTTTGCTCACCTGGGCCTTCCCATTAAAGTAGGCATTTTAATGTAAGTTGCTACTGTACTTTTAACAATACACAACGCTAAAAAAAATCACTATTCATCCTTAACAAAAGTCCAGTTGTGTCACCGTGTCCAGTAAAAGAAAAACTAAACTGATCTTAGACAGAGTTCCTGCCTATTTAACTAATAAATCATCTGCAACACCTTGCTGCTCCCTGCTTGCCCTGCCTCAAACCCCCCAAAATTGCAACCTTCTCCTGATGAGACTTTAACAGCAGCAAAGGTGATGGGAGAGATCTCACATTCAGAAAAACCCATCACTTTCAAGAGACACCTCACTGAACATTTATTAACATGCTACAGCACACGGTACTTCAAGAACTCAAAGGAAACAGCACTTCTCAAACTAAATGAACCAAGTGCATTTCATGAGGCCACATCCTTCTCTTTTGCACTCCTTTGGAGTGTTTATGTATGAAGTCAACCAACCTGGGATTTCATCCTCAACACTCTCATCATCATCATCAATCAGCAAGCACTGACTGTGAGAGAGCCCCATCTCACACTGACAAGACACTCAAAGAGAAACAGCTATCTTGGAGCTTAGTGCTATTAAAAATAAATATTAAAATAAAAAAAAAAATCAAAAGCTATAGAATGGATTTGATCAGTTACCACTTGACCAACAGCTGAATTTGTTGGTTACAGACTCACACCCTTTGCTACTGCAGATAAGTACCAAAAAAAAGCTAAAGAAGTTGCACTAAGCAAGCTGAGGAAAAAGTCTGCCTATCTACACAGAAAGTGCAGGGAGTTTTTCTCCCTCATTCACTTACTGCCAGACTTGTTCTTTTACATTTGCGCATTTGAACCAACATACAGCCCCAACTTCCCTAAAATAAACCCTCTCTCACTCCAAAAACAGCTTTCATGTAGCATCTAAACACTGTTTTGACTTCCCCTTTATATTCTCCATCTCCATGTCCCTCTCCCCGCCCCCAATACAAATAATAGGAAGGTGCAAGCTATTAGAGCAGTCTTACCATGGCATTAAGCTGGGAGTTGCTGGCTTGCGTGATACCGAGGATGTTTGTAGTATGCATCACTTCTACTGAAAAACTGGGCAGCCAGCTGGCAATTCGAGAGCCTAAGAACAAGAAATCACCAAGGAAGTCAAGCAAGGATACGAGGTTCTCAGCAGGCCAACTATTCTCCATGCATTTTAACATAAATATTCATATTTCCACAAGGTACATATGGGGAGCTCTGCAGTGCAATCCATCCCCACAGTATCCCCAACACGGAGATGGCTGGAGTAAACCACTAAGAGCCAACACCATCTTCAAACACACTGTGGTTTAACAACCTTAGGGCCAGAAGAGGATCAAGAAAGCAACACATCCTTGTCTTCTTGTCTTAACGTTCCCATTAAAGGGAAAACTAAAATAATCCAGAGTCAAGTTCACTTCTGGAATACATTAATAACTCCAGCAATTCTACTAAAACCAGGCCAGCTTCTAAACAGGCTGAATCTGGTCCCAAAATGGGTCAAGCTACACGTGGCTGGCATCGCTGAGAAAATATTATTGCAAAGGGACACAGAATAACCAAAGTGATCGCTGCTGCAATTGTGTGTGTCGGCTCAGAGCAGGGCACACAGAATCATACAACGCTTAGAGTTGGAAGGGACCTTAAAGGTCATCGAGTTCCAACCCCCCTGCCCTGGGCAGGGACACCTCCCACCACACCAGGTTGCTCCAAGCCCCCTCCAACCTGCCCTTGAACCCCTCCAGGGATGGGGCAGCCACAACTTCCCTGTTCCAGGCTCTCACCACCCTCACAGCAAAGAATTTCTTAAGAGCAGGGCACATAGAATCATACAATGGTTAGAGTTGGAAGGGACCTTAAAGACCATCAAGTTCCAACCCCCCTGCCCTGGGCAGGGACACCTCCCACCA